ATATTAGATATTACATATATATTTGTGAGTGTGTTGTAGTGTGTCTTGTGATGACTTATTGAGTTCATATCTGGTTCTATTTGTCTGTTGTATATTCTCGCCTAAAACCCAAGTCTGTTTCGATTTGTGCGTGTGTTTGTGCCTTGCGATAATCCTATGGGATTATATATGTTTCTACATTTGTGTGTTAACTTCCATCTCTCTGACTGGAGGCTTAAGTTCACACACCCTTGTTCGTATCAGCAATTGATTGGATATACGTCGGTGTATGCGCGGGATCTCCTTTTGCGGACCCGAAGAAAATAAAGCGTTATTGCTATCTATACAAAATGTTATGATCTGTACCGTAGTATGATTTGTAAATAAAAAGTGATACCTGCCACCAACTACACAACCACATACCCACAGACGCTCGGAATATCAAAAGTCTGTTTGGTGGGTGGTCTGTGGTTGTGTATGCACATATCATGCCCTTCTGTGCTCTACATACTCACAAACACACACTCATCCCTGCACATACACCTAACGCATTCCGCGCAGATCAAGCCCGTGTCACATCTGATCAATCTGCTGTTCGCTGAACCGGACGAAGAGGAACTGCAGAAAGAAAACTATTACGCAGAGGGCTTCTATCGCTTCGGAAGGAAAGTGCGGAGACGGTCAAAGGAGCTCATAGGGCCAAGGCACAGGTGTGAGGATATGTGTAGGTGCAGGTGTATATTATGTCCATGTCTATGCCTTAGTCTATGTCTAAAATGTCGGTCTGCGTATGTATATGTACCTATGTGTATGTTGATATGTAGTATACATATGTGTGTGTCTATGTGTATGTGTATACTGATGTGCCTGCCTATGCATATGCATGTGTATGTGTCTATATATGTGTGTATGTCAATGTGTATGTGTATGCGTACGTGTGTGTGTGTGTATGTATGTGTGTGGGGTCCGATAAAATGTCGTTCTCCGTGAACATACTTATATTCCTTGTGTGTTTGACATGCTGAGGGTGTTAGTGTATTACTCAATGCCATACACAATCTCGATATCACGTCGTTGGGCATGAGTGTGATGACAATGCGCTCTGTTCGATTATATTCTGTACTGAAATTTGGGTAGCTCGACTGAAAGGTGAAAAGACTCATTCGCATGTGTATGCGTGAGCATATGATGGGTGCAATGTATGTGTATGCGTGCTTGCCTGTAGTCAGTAGTGTGACTGTACGGTCGTCAGTATTTAAAACGTGCTTTCGCATTCCGAGATACGTACACTAGGTAAAACGGCTATGTAGTTGAATGGTTATGTCTTTCGGAGTTCAAGTGGAATTAACGGTACTACCAACAGACTCAATTTATATTGCTCATGTTTGGCGTGTATGTACATGGAGGCCCCTTTATTGTCTTTGTGTGAGCTCTGGTCAGCAAATATTGAACTTCATCTATGTGATGAAAAATCAGTATTTGGTATTTCGGTTAAGCCCACTTGAACTCCGAAAGTAATCATGCAAACTGTTGCATGGGTCTATAATTGAGCCAATCCATTTACGTGTAGATAAGATAGCTTGTGTATGAGTCATCCTGCCTACAGATGCGCTTGCATTATTACACATGGGAAGTGCGCATGCTTGTGATCGCCTCCTGCTCATCCTAGTCATACCCAAGTGTGAAGCACCCGCACCTCGTACAGTACACCCCAAGAAACAGGCCCAGGCTTGTGCGTCAGGGTCGCAGGCACGCAGTAGTAGCGGTGCGCATCCACCTGCGTCTGTCATGTCCCCACAGGGACCTGTGATTCATATACATCTCACGTCCTTTTGTTAATCTATGGATTTCAATATCCGCGTGTCAATATGTGCCATCTGCCCTGACACTCGCACACATCATCGGTGCACCTCCCTTGTCGGCTGTTATGTCTACACCACTGACCGTTAAGTTTGTAACCTTTACCATACCCTGGCACTCGCACACATCACATCATCGGTGCGCTTCCCTTGTCTGCATTTCTATTTACGTTAAGTTCATAACGTTTAACACTCGGTGCACGCAGTGCTGTACAAATTAATGCGGATGACGAGGACGCGATCGTTTCTCAGTCTGACATGCGCATGCACTCCGATGAGGCAGATGGGACTTCTCCACAAAATGGTATAGCTGAAAACGTATATGGCGGTATATGTGTGTGTATGCATGTGCGCGTATGGATTTATATGCCTGTATGTATGTGTGCATACAGGCATATATGCCTGTATGTACGTGTGCATACAGACATACATGCCTATATGTATGTGTGTATACGGACATATATGCCTGTATGTCGTTAAGTAATTTGGTAAGTATGTGGGTAGGTATGTCTGTGCCTGTAGGTATGTATGTGTAACGATCTATACCATTCTATTCTAGCGACGTGAATATAAACATACAAGGACAGTTTGTTTAAATTTCAAAATTAATTTGTATAATTTTGTATACTTTCCATGTATGAGCTTCTTGGCACTGCGCAAGTGTACGCCCCAAAACTACAGATAGGTGTAGTAAAATTTGTCACTTATTTTGCCCAAAGGAACTGCGGAAGATATCGAAAAGGGAAAGTCTCACGCAATCGCCATAGAAGAGCTAGACGGCATGCCTGCGGGTGACCTTCGGCGCAGTATGATTACCAATGTTGACTCAAACGTTACAGATGACAGTCACAATTCTGAAAGACCGGACAGGAGGTGTGTGTTGTTGTGTGTTGTGTGTCGTGTTGTGTGTTGCGTGTCTGTCGTGATGCGTATTGGTGGCAAGAGTGGGTCGCAGTGACACACTACTATATCGGCCCAGTTTTGTATTTGTGCCTATTTCTCTCAAATGAAGCGTTTGTTCACTGCCCATTTGTTCGTTGATGTGCACAAGCAGTGCGGAGCAGATAAAGCGGCACGGGCTGTCGCTGGGGGTCGATGATAAGGCCAAGTACAACCCGTCCAATATATACCGGAATGAGAGAGACTCGCCAAACCGGGACGAGGTAGTGCCTGAACCCCGTCGGGAGAGCACGGGCACGTTCTGGGTAAGTCAGGCATGCAGCGACTAGGGAGACGTTGGTTTCAGTTGACGACAAGGACACTTTACGCTATGGGATGTGGGTGATTCATTGTGTGTGTGCGTGTGCGGGCATCGTGTGTATGTATGAGCGTCATATGGGTGTTCATGGGATGGCTATAGCCGAAGTCACACTGAGTTGTTGACCTTTTAATTGTACTTATTGTCAGTACAATGCCCATTGAATATTCGGGTAAAACCGTGAACGGTAACTGTTTGGACTTCGCATTTCAGATTATAAATACAATGTACCTCAAGAAAACTTCATTGCAAATAGTATGCATAGGCGCTCCTGTAAATCTGTCAGTTTCATATGTTGTGTCAAGGATTGGTTAGATACATTAACGGGTATCTAATGAGACCTTACAAGAAGAAGTCCAACTGGTAGTTCCAATATCAGCTGTTGATACTATTCTGTATACAACTCTGAACACAAAATATACGTATGTCAGCCACATGTCAGCAGCGGTGTGTCTGGACATACTGGGACTATCTCAACCACCCTGCACATACCGCTATACAGAGTGGAGCATATCGGGACAATCAAGGTTTTGAATATGAGGTCATACTTTTACGATGTGTGTTTGTGTAAGCATTAGCCAGGTGGGGCTGTTATCCCCAGTAGCTCCTTGATCATGTGTCTCTGCATTACCTGTCATCACCTACTGTTTACACTGCAATAGATACCACTCAGAATCACCGTACGACAATTGAGATAAAGCGACCGTTTATCGTATATCATGGTACCGCTTTAAACAGTTCAAAATACCGGGACGCAAGCGGTCAAGCAACTCGTCGGTGTTATCTAAACAGGCCAAAACGTCACCCCTTTTAAAAAGCACGGGTCCTAAAAAGCGCGGGAGTGCGGGTAGCTTCAAGAGAAGCCGGGGATCAAATAGTACTGAGCGGATCATGCGAAGGTTTTTGGGCAACTCCATGGACACAACTGCGCCCATGCGGGTATGTGTATGTGTATGTGTATGTGTATGTGTATGTGTATGTGTATGTGTATGTGTATGTGTAT